TATGTCCGTTTTTAAAGAAATTGTATAACAAAATACTCGTTTTATTCAGTTTCACCTAGCTTCTTCATTTCACTCAGGAAAAAGTACGTAGATCTACGTACTTTCCATATGCAAAATTTACCAATTCTACGTAATTTTCTCATCGGGCCTACGACTTTTTCAAAATCCAAGTTGGCAACACTGACTGGCAATCAGTAGGCAATAGCTGCGCACAAAACGACAACAATAATACAACTTTTCTCTCATAATTAGCAGTTTATCTGATACTAGGAGATATTATCGAAAAAGAATCAGATTTAAATTATGTAAGATTTCTGTAAGTGACATTAGCCAAATAAATGTATAGCAACAAAGTTTAGCTTAAACTATGTCCTGCGTATTAATAAAGAAGACAAAGCTTGGATTACTTACTCTATGTTTTGTCTATGTTTGTTGAATGACAAATGATAAATAAATGATATGAACAAAACACGGCGTAACTAGTCTAATCTTATTCCTCATTTATTAATAAGAGGGTGTAAGTAAAAGTAGGTCCGTCGGCATAAATTAATTAATTGTACAAAATCCATTTAATTGTGACTACTACTTGAATATATTATTTCACATCGTGAAGAAAAGTCATGGTACTCTATTTTGTATGTAAAAAGAGTGCCAAACAAACATATGGCCTACCGATGGTAAGCGCCAACCAAAGCTTTAGAATGGACACTTGGGGTATCAATTATACTAGAGAATGTTGAGTGCCCTGATCCCATACCTTACCTCGTGGAATCTTAGAACTTTACTCATCAAAGAAACAAACCACCAAAAGGAAATGTTATTTTACTGTGGTCTAATGTAAGGTAAGCTTTAATTTGTGCAAAAAATCAGCTCTATCTTAATCTCTATTCCTATACCTTTGCCTCCTCTATTTATATAAATTACGAATGTTTATTGTAAACCACAAATTTTCTAATTATTATTATTATTGACATATTTTTAAACATATTATCTAGGTACTTAGAAAAATAACATTAACAATGGCTGAAAGATGATTCATAGCCTCTAAAGAGATTACCAACGCAATAGACTACATAGCAACTCAAATATATTTTATGTCGGCAGTGCGTGCGCCTCTTGATAAAATAGTACCAGTTATGCCAATTACCAGCACACGTATCTCACTGGAGATGATTGTATTGCGAAACTATTCATGAAATAGTAGAATGGTTCTGCTGTGATCCTCTTTATTTATTTATTTTCATTTTTCATTAAAATTCACAGTCACCTGACTTTTGCCTTGCAGCTTAAGGCTAGGAAAATTTCGACGCGACTAATAGGGCCGTGGTAGCATAATAGCGAAGGATGCGGGTTCGAGTCCCGTCCGCTGCCTGGTCCGCGTGGATTTTTTTTTCTAGTAAACTTTTCTTTAGAGTTGTAGATTTTTTAGAAAATAATCAATATTTTACAAAGTAACTGTGACATTTTTGGTTCATCTGCCGTACTTTTATTAATAAATAGACCTATATTTATTCTTTAAATAAAATTCATTAAATATATAACAAAAAAGTTGCCTCCCCTTTCTTGGATCAAATTGCCCAGTTTACAGAGAATCAGCCACTTAATAAAGAGCTCTCATGCTTAACAATAGATTAATTTATCTAATAATAAAACCAGCCCAATAATTTTATTTTAATGAAAAATAGGTTTTCTGTATTGCATATGACATCCTGCACTCACCTAAACTCTGTCAAAGTAGTTCACAAATGAGGAGGTTAGGAACAAAAAGTGTCATTTATTTGCTCTAACTGTTTTTTGTAATCGGCTCAAAATGTTAAATTCCATCTGTAACTCCCAAGATTTTGTTCAAAAACTCAGTAGTTTCATAGAAAAATTGATATGAACTGCTGTTTCTGGAACAAAAAGTTACATTTTTATTCAATCACAGTGATTATATTAATAATCACAGTGATTATATTAATAATCACTGTGATAAATCAAGAATTCAAGTATTAACTTGAATTCAAAAAGTGACATATACTTAAGAAATATGTTTGATAAGTCTTTAGTCTGTTCAAAGTCAAACTAGGAACCAGATTGTGGAGAATTATATGTATAAGAAATAAAAATGTTTTCTGTGAATCTATTTTTATTTTCATAATGAATGTTTGATAAGGTAACATTTTTTAGACAGTGAGTTTCAAAAGGTGTCATTTTACAAAATATTTGTATCAAATAGTGACATTTGCATGCTATTGGATCAAAGGGTGTCATTTGATATGTATTTTTTTATTTCCAAGTTCCAAAACTGGCAAGATAACCTTTTTATTACAATTAATTTTATACAGTAATTGACACATATATGGATAATAAAAAATGCTTAGAACAACTTCTCAATTTACTCAAAAAGTTAAAAACTGTAAATGACACTTTTTGTTCCTAACCTCCTCAAATGAAAAATCTAAAATGTTTTTATTTACTTTATTTAATATGTTAATTTCTATTGATTTATTTATATAGCCATTATTCAGAGATTAGCTCTGTGTGCCTTTTGGCATAGGCCTCCTCCAACTCTTTCCACTTTTTCCTCTCCCTAGTCAGCCTTGTCCAAGTTTTCCTGCTAACTGAACTATGCCGTCCTCCCATCTCTTGTGTGGTTTCCCTTTCCTTCTCTTTTCCTCTCTTGGGTACCATTAGGTTACTGACTTGCTCCATTTTTCTTCACCTCTTATCATGTGGCCAGCCGTTCCATTGCCCGTTCACATGTTTTTAGTTTATTTTCCTGGTATTTAGTCAACGCCCAAGTCTGGCACACATATGTTAGAATAGGGAGAATACAGGGGGTAAACAGCTTTCCTTTAAGGGAGATGTTAATATTGCTATTTAGTCTTTTACATAATAAATTTTAACATTGTTTACTATTTCTTGTCTTTTTGTTTTCACTGGCCCATTTTTGCTTTTGACATTTGGAATCCAATCCTTCCTGTCAGTCAAATATTTTGAAGCCTTCTTAACACCTCCTGACCTAATGATTTGTTCTTCAAACTTTTTAATCTATGTGCCTGTCTATCTTTCCTCAGCTTATTTCTTATTTGCATTTTTCAAATGTATGTTATGCTCTGTCGTATTTCTTTAGTTTTGTGATTGATATTGATAAGTTTTGCCCTTTCCCTTTTGTAGTTGTAAAGTTTCTTCGGATATTTCATTTTTGTTTCCCTTAGTATAAAATCATTTTGCTTTGGTATTTCCTTGCTCATCATTTTTTCTAGAATGTCGTATTTGGTTATAATTTTTATTTTTAAGCATGTAACTGCTTGATGTTTAAATCTAAAGAAAATATAACAAGAAAAAATTCCATGCACACCACTGTCCTATTTGGATTGGATATCCAAGTTGTTCATTGATATAGTTCAAGTCTCTGTTGTATGTCTGTTGTAAGTCTTTGAATGTCCCATTCGGATGGTGTGGGTGTTTTATTTGTATTACGTCTCGACTTTTTTGTTGGGAACAGTTTTAATTTTGCTCTCACCATCATCCCATGGTTAGTGTTGAAATTTAGATTGCTGATTACTCCACAGTCCTCAAAGGATTTTTTGTTGTATAAGCAGTTTTTATATACTTTCCTAGGCTTTTATATACTTCCTTTTATAGGCTTCCATATATACATTCAACTCAACACATAACAAAGATGCAGCGGGGACAGTAAGTGCATGTAAATATGTACTAATAAGGACATACTGGTAAGAGAAAATACTTCCATTATGTAAAATTCAGGTAAAGGCTATAAATAAGAGGTTAATTGGACCTACCTTCTAAATTCAAGAAAATCATTGGCAAATAGTTGGAAATTTCAATATATAGAAAACCCAAAGTAAGGTTTGATTTTGCTTGGACCCCCCTTGCAATTAATGCCTTTCTGGCGAGTCTATTGAAGTAGGTCTGGTGCCCGAGTACTTTTTAAATTTTATTTTGATCTATTCATATTGCTTTAAAACAATTTTTGCTTGAAAATAATATATTTTTTATATGACAAATGGAAACCTTACTTAGGGACCGTACCCATTTTATGTAACCCATTTAAAAACAAAGTATGTACTCATATTTCATCTAATTAAAAAATCCAGTTTATAGTCAAAAGAGCTGGACAATATTCCAGACGTCTAGAGTCTAAAACTCAGACATGTCATAGATGGTAACTCTACCTCAAACCTTTACTGCCTTATTACAAAACACAGACTAAAGTTAAACCTGAACTAAAACTGATGCTGACACTTTTGTATACTCAAAAAAGACAGAGACACCATTAGGTTCAAAGCAATACTAATGTTAGTCAGTGTTTTAAATTCAAAAAAGACAGAGACACCATTAGGTTCAAAGCAATACTAATGTTAGTCAGTGTTTTAAAATAAGGCTGACATCATTATGGTACTATATCTGTGCAAAATAATGCAGCGTAATGGCTACCAAAATTTATGGAACTGCCCAAGACTTGTATCTTAATTTTGGTGGTTTAGATGGTGTTAGACAATTGACCCCAAGTGTGATGTAGTGTTACATGACTATCAATAATCAAGGAATTAGCACCATTTACACCAAGCCTTTAGCTAAATATAATTTATTAAAACATTTTTATCATAACCTCAGTAAGATACAAAAAATCATATCACAATTATATGGATTGCAGGTGAATATAAGATGTATAGTACTACATACTTATTTTCTTCAATTTTTAAATATGGTTTTTGATTATTGATCTTCTAATATTTTACAATCATAAGTGAAAAGCATGATGTTTATTATTATGGTGTTTCAAAGGGCTGATTTATACCTTGCAGTATTTATAAATCTACAGCTTTTAAATACAGAAGATGTTGTAAACAAATGTGTGAATTCTGTAGTCTCCTGTGCCAAACATACATCATCTATCTCTGTACTTACATCTTGTTTTATTCTAGATACAACATCCAAATGTTCTTAAAGAAAACATAACCTCACAGCACATTGAGACACAACATACTTACCCTTGAAAATGTTCTAAGTCGATTGATTCTGGGATTCGAAGGCACGTTATTCAAAGACACCTTGGACATCTTCCACTATTTAGAGTCGTCTCAACAACGAGAGAAAATAGAATGTCTTGTCACCTTTCAAGCACAGGCTGGCACTGTTCGAACGTTTAGTAATAACAAGTTCATGAGAAAGAAAATTTTAAATCAGACTGAGCATTCGACACACCTTGCTCAATTTTATTAAGAAAAACAAAAGTTAATTTTGACAGCAATTACACAATCCCATATTTAAAAATTACCTTAAATATTTTAATGAAAACACAAAACATTTAATAACATTAAATTACAATTACATTGAGTCTAAATTTATAAAATACAGAATAAAAACAATGTTCATATAAATTTTAAAGTCACTTTAGTCTATTCAATGCTTTTGACGTTTTGTTTCACACAGCGAAAACGCGAAACGAAGCAAACGAGAACCGCCTCTGACACTGCCAAGCCGACAACTGTCAAACACGAACAACAAAACGAATTAGCACGCGCGCGCCAAGAATTTATGGCGCGTTTATGAGAATGTCACTAGAATAATTTAAATGATTTTATGTAAAGTTTTAAATGATTATAGCTGGTATTAAAACTTATCTAACTATTTAATACGTGGATAGAAAACCTACCTTCCTAGCAGGAATAATTAGATTAAGTTTCATATAAATACAAAACTAAATAGGTATGGTTACTGAATTTAATAGAAAATAAACCTCTATCTTGTGATTTATCACGATCGACTTAAAAAAAATTTAGTACCTACTTACGTACATATTTCATTTCTTTATTATTGGTGAAAGAATATCAAACTTAACTTCATAAATTATTAAATGCTATCAAGAATTTTAATCAATAGTTAATCTCGTAACAGTGACAGACAACCGTGGTGTAAAAGTCCATAATAGTTAACATTATAGACAAGTTCCTATTTATCATTTTGAACAGCAGCATCCTTTGTACACTACATACACACGCAACTAAAATGATCATATAAGCTGAACATTTAGATTTATACATATTAAATATTTTTTACAAGCCCCTGACTATCATTTATCGACTATTTCACATATAGTGAACACAATCATCACAGTTCATGGAGGATTTTATATTTCCTATATAAAAAAAAACACAAGAATCCACCCAAACATAGTGCTGTGTGTATTTTGTTAATATTGTGCTATATTTATGAGAGGTGTATAAGGTATATGAGATGTAAGAGAGGTATGGCATAGCGCATTTTCCGCTCGAATTATAACGTCCGTCTGGGAAAGTAACCTCCACCTTACTGCAGTTCACAGTAAAATGACAGTACCTTTTGGTGGTGTTGTGTTTATGCCGGTGAGGTTCCAGGACCCACGGGTTAGGGGATTTGGTCAGGGTAGGCCACGGTGTAAGTGATATTTTTGGTATCGCAAACGTCTATACTATAGATGGTAACGGCTACCACAGCCTATAGACTCTATAGGCTATGGTAGCCGCTTACCATCAGGCGGGCCATACGCTTGTTTGCCACACTTTTAACATAAAGAAATTAAATAAAACTAGTTTTTACGGGTTAATGCACGAAACTTTATTTATTTATTGACGTTTCGCAGCCTTTTCAGGTCTGCATCGTCAGAAAAGGCTGCGAAACGTCAATAAATAAATAAAGTTTCGTGCATTAACCCGTAAAAACTAGTTTTATTTAATGAGTGATGTGCGTGATAACCTTAGAAACAAATAAAGAAATTAGATATATATTCTCTTATTGGTATCTTATTTATACATTGGATAGTACCTATCACCTAGGTACATTGGTGGAATAATTTATTACTTAGTAATTAGAAAGTAAACCAATTTGAAGTCCATAATGGACAGCTGTGTTCAACGTCAGTGAATTGTTAATCTTAAGTAGGTTTTCATTTATGATCACAACACAAGTACATACAAAGCAAAATCTCATTTTACTTAAAATTAAGTAAAAGTAATATAAAGCTACACAACTTTCCTTCTCTGTACCTGTGTCATGAAAGATAAAATGAAAAAATAAAACCAGTTCAGGGGATGTTGCGCTTCTCTATTATCTTTAAACCATCAACAATCGCACATTTAAAATGAATATTTATTATTATTATTATATTTTTTATATATATTTCAGGCTGTCGCAACTCTATTGTTGCCAAACTTGCCAATATTCCTTATTCATTTAAACAAACGAAACTTATAAAAGACTGTATTACCTACTCAAAAGCGATCAATAGCCATGGCCCCATTAGATCATAGAAGTACCTACACAAAGCACCGTCAGTTGTCTGCATTGAAAACATTTAATCAGTCAGCTGCACTTTCTACAATGTCGGTGGTACCTATTAATTTATTTTACGTAATGTCGAGAAGCGCAGTCACTCACCAGCGATCTTTCTGTCGGGTTGACTCTAATGTGGGAGTCGTCGTCATCGTCTGGATTGCATTCAGTCCCTGCAGCTTGGCCCATGGTCACGGGGCAGTTGGTGGGCCGATCGGAAGATGTGCCGGGTCGGTGGGAGCGACCGAGCGGCTGCGACCGGCGGCGGCGTTGGGCCGCGTAGCAGCCCGCGCGTCTGTCGCGCGTCCACTGCCGCGCGGCAGCTATGAAGCCTTTATACAACTTTTAGGGATGCGTGAGCTTATCGACAGATTGAGCTTTTTCTCTATAAAATACAAAGTACAATAAAAGTCCTTTGTGAATGTCTTTTTATTAATTGATAACCTCCTCGCATAATAGATTTAGATTATTGTGTAATAGTATAAAGTAAACAATAGTTTTGTATCTGTAGGATAAAGATATTTATTGTACAATTAAACAAACAATATTAGTATTGCAGCTGATTTTATAGTCATACAGAGAACGGGAGCTGATTTGATTACAGTGGTGTATCGTACGATCCACTCCACTTTGTCGCTTAAAATACAGTTGTTGTCGTGGGGTGGCGGTGAGTCGAGTCGACAAGTTGTAACTAGCTCGAAATGTACAAGTGCAGTGCAAGAATAAAGTGTTAATATTAAGCCGTGCTTTAATAAGAGACTCCACAGTACCTAATTCATATCTATAGTAACCTTATCCATAGAGTTATCCTAAACTGGCCGTATCTTTAAAATCCTTGTTCGAAGTAAAAGTTCATCGACAAACTTTAAGCCCGAGTCTAGCTCTAATTCGGTCGATACAGCGGGCGCAAGTCCGCTCAGCTGGGACCTGTGACAGTTGCCAATGCCAGTAAGATAAGTAGAAACATAACAACGATTCGACTGAGAGCGATTAATTTTAATTTTTGTTAATGGAAAGCACTCGCAGAAAACTACGCTCTAGCACTTTTGATGTCAAGACTCAATAAATCGCATCATTGTGTAATTTTATTTTCCCTGATAGTAAATCTTTATGTAAATAATTTTAAAAATTCAATATGTAATTTTAAATTTATTATTGAACACAATTTGATGAAATTAATATTATTGTCCCATCCTATTAGATTATCTTATGTATTGAGGTTAAATGATGAAGAAAGGATACTACACTAGCCACTAACTAATCAATCTATATACAGCACCGAAGACTTGTCTCGCTCGCCATCTCTAAGGTCGCGATGAGTTTTCGCTATCGGTAGAAAACCATCCACAATGGAAACAACGACGGTATAGTAGAACAGCTCGAGGGAAAACGTCAATGCTGTATGTTATTTTTTAAAAAAGTAAAATACAATCGTTCAGCACTTTCTAATGTGGAAAGTAGCCCATCGGACGAAAAAAACACCACAATTTAATCTCTAACTACGCTACAAACGCTTTGGGCGCTAACTCCTAACCGATCATCCTTTGTGAGTTGCACTACAGAGCTAGTAAAAGTAAAATTTTATTATCAATTAAAATAATTCAACTAGTGCAATCAACGGATACAACCTATTTTTACATAACCGGTACTTTAACTAAACAGTTAAAGTAAATTGATGTAACTCACGCAGTAATTTACATTCTATTTCTCTTCCTCACCAGATCAGTCCACGTCAGTCCCATTATATCTTAAACTTGTTACATCAGCTCAATGAACTGAAAATATATTGGAATATAATGACAAAAATATTGTTTTAATCAGCTAGTTTTAGGTATGACAATATTGACAATACTACATCAAATAAAACTAGTTTTTACGGGTTAATGCACGAAACTTTATTTATTTATTGACGTTTCGCAGCCTTTTCAGGTCTGCATCGTCAGAATAATTGACCTGAAAAGGCTGCGAAACGTCAATAAATAAATAAAGTTTCGTGCATTAACCCGTAAAAACTAGTTTTATTTAATGAGTGATGTGCGTGAAAACCTAAGAAACAAATAATACTACATCACTTTAACAATCTTTTTATAATTAAAATAGCACAAACATTAACATTATTAGGAACTACTTAATTTAAATTTCACTTTAATTAAATCAGTCGATTGTAACACTGAGTCCCGTATCTAGGGTACTCTGTTACAGGACAACTTAAAATAATATGAAATGAACAAAATGAGAAAAAGGATTTAACTTCTAATAAATATTAAACTTCTTCAAAATATTTTTTGGGAAAGTAAAGACATCAATCTGACGTTTGGTCTTTCTTTCTGCAATCTTTGTAATGTCATAAAATTTACGTGCTTTATTGCTGCCTTTAGAAGACTAACACCACATTCAACTATCAAAATCGCTTCTGCCATATATTTTTCACTGTGAAAACCATAATCCGTCTTCCTCTTAGGATTTGCACCATTTTCTTTTAATTCCTTGAAATAGTACAATGTCACACAGTGCCTGGGGGGGACAAAGCCGAGCGCGTCCGTGGGCTTTAGCTCTAGATACCTAAAGAGCTAGCTAAAGAGGTACTCAAAACGCTAAGCACTCTAGACGTGAATAAAGCCAGTGGGCCTGATGGCATTCCAGCTATTGTCCTGCGGAATTGTGCCCCTGAGTTGTCTCCTATTCTGACTCGCCTATATCGCTTATCCCTTGAGATTGGCCAAGTTCCGAAAACCTGGAAGCTTGCCAATGTCCAACCAGTGCCCAAAAAGGGTAGTCGTGCCGACCCTGCCAACTATCGACCTATTGCACCTCCATACTCTGTAAGATTATGTAGCGTGTATTGAACAACCGTCTCCTCGCTTACCTCGAAGATAACGATCTCCTCAGTGACTGCCAATTCGGT